ACTCCCCCAATAGAAAATATTTTTCAATGGCTTAGCTGCATAGGTATGACAGCTAAAATAAAAATATCTTTTAATTTTTCCTGCTTAAAATGTTATAATATATATACATATATTTAAAAAAACAAAAAAACAAAACAAAAACAGAAACTTCACTCCCAAAGCCTACTGCATTTTCAGGTGTTCTAATTGTCTCTGTGACTGTATACCACTTAGCAGCAATTAAATATGCCAAAAATAAGTAAGAGTCCAAGTGCTAATTCAATGTGATTAAGGGGTCAAGGAGTTATATAACTACTTTGGCAGCTGCAAAGAAACATTTTTACAGAGAAAAACATTGGCAAGTAAAGCCTTATCTCTAGGTCACTTGTTAACATTTGATAGTTGTTAAGAGGGTCTCCTTCACTGGAAGTCAAGGTGAAAATGCTCACATAGTTGTGGTTTTGGCACATCTTTAAATTTCACTTCTTCTATTTCTGTCATTACCTAAAGAAGAACACTTACTACCCTAATGCCTCTGAGTCACCTCAACAGAGAAGTATATGCTTCTAACATAGTACTTGAGGTTTAAAGCATGCACTTATTGCTCTCCACATCCTTGATAAATAATGGTTAGGGAAAATCTCATCTAATTAGAGTTAGAGGTACTGTTTTTTAATATAAGTCAAAGTATAGGTTAAAGAATGTAATAAAAGCCATCATCCTCAAAACCCACATTAAAACACAGCTTACACTTATAAGAGAATAGTTGCCAAGTTTATTTTAAACTTCTAAAACATTCCTAATATCCAGGAAATTACACTCATGCTGCAAAAAGTTTTACTTAAAAACAAAACCATCAAACAACCACTACTTCCACTAGATGGTGTAATTACACCTTTATTTATTTATTTTTTTACTCAATCCTACTTAAAGTTTCATAACTCCACGAACCACATCCTAACAGAAATCTAATACTTCCAGGAATGGACTTTTGGTTCTAAGGCATGAACTGCATCTATTCCAGTTTTTATTCAAAAGATTTACAATTTACATTAGAACTTTACCAATTCAAAAAGATGCATACAGAAAAGACAGCACAGTATAATTTAAAAGAACACTGAAAGATTATGCCTATGATGAGTACTCAAAAAACTGATAAAGTTAGAAAAAGTACTGGAGTGAGCCAGGGCATTAGAGTCACTGTCCATGGTGACTAGTAACAATAGTGTATAGCCTTGGGAAATCGTTTTACCTATATGATCCCCACATTTCTCATATGAAAAATGAAGTTTGGACCAAATCAATCTCAAAGCTTATTTCCACCTCTCTATATGAGAGATCTAGGTCAATTAATGTGCCTTCCTACTTTATGGTAAACAGCTACTAATATTTATGGAATACATTTCATATGCTAGGCACTGTTTTAGTGCTTTAGATATATTCATTCATTTATTCTTCACAGTTGTGTAAGTGCTATTATTATATACATATCACAGATGAGGAAAATGAAGAACAAAAGGATTAAACAATTTTTCCAGCAGGTAAGAAGTTAAAGCCACAGATCAAATCCAGGGAATTCTGGATAGTCTATGCTTTTAAACACTCTACTAAACCGCAAGTGTGTAAAGCTGCTTTTCTGTGCATTTATACATTATGCCCAGTGGAAGATCTGATTAATACAGTGATAATTTTATTTCCACAGATGTGTACATTCTTAACAGAAGTAGAACTATTCTTACTGATTGATTCCTACAAAAGAATGTAGGGACTCAGGATCACTGGGTTAGTCCTATTGTTTTAAACAAAAGGTAACTGAAGACCTACACATGTATACTGACTCACCCAAGGTCACAGAACTCACTGAGTAGCCGAAGCAAGATAAAGCCTCAATCTCTAAATTCCAGATCCAGGATTTTCCTTAACCACGCTGCCTCATCAGAATAATAAACCATAATCCAGCCCAAATCTACTAAAACCAGAAAGAAAATAAATAACATTTGTTTCCTTTTTAGAGATTTGTATGGCTCTTCCATTCCAAGTATCTGTCCTATCAAGAAATCTTTTTATAGATCCAGCAGCACAGCATAGTGTTAAGAGCAGAGACTCTAGCCCTAGTCAGTTTTGCTCTGTGGTTAGAGCATCAGCCTGTGGAATGAAGGGTCTCAGGTTTGATCCCAGGCCCCGGTAGGGGCACATGTAGGAGGCAACCAGTCGATGTGTCTCTCTTACATCTCTCTCCCTCTCTCCCTCTCTCCCTCTCTCCCTCCCTCCCTCTCTCCCTCTCTCTCTTCCTCCCTCCCTCCCTCCTTCCCACTTCCTCTGAAAAGCAATGGAAAAAACATCCTCAGATGAGGATTAAAATGAAAAAAGAGCAGAGACTCTGAGGTCTGACTGTCTGGGTTCAAATTCCAACTCTATCACATACTAGGTATGTGATATTGTATAAATTATTTAACCTTCCTGTCTCTCAGTTACTCCATCCATAAAACTGGGAATAAAATACATACCTTATAGGACTGTTGTGAGTATTAAATGAATTAATTACGTGAAGTGCAAGACTAGAGTCTGGCATGTAAGTGCTATATAATTACTTGCTATTAATATCATATTAAGCCACCAACATCTCTCCAGCTTTAATTTTATTTAAAAGTCATCTATAGGTAAAGGAGTTTTTTCATTCCTAATTCTTTTTATCCTTTCTTCATAAGACCTATTTTTAATCCTTTTTTTACTTTGAAAAGATACTTATTTTGTATTTGTATCTAACCAATATTTCTTTACCCTACATTTGTGCACTAACAAAATCAAACCTAAGTTGTTTAATTTTGCTTTCAAAGACTAAGAATTCTCAAGATTTACTTTTACCTGTAGATACTGAGAAAGCTGGAATAGTTCCTGAGAGTACATACTTGGAGTGTTAGCAGCAACCTAGAAACAAAATGACATAGTGTCAACAGTCACACAAAATATTTATGAAAGACATTAAAGCCAAACCAAGTCCTTAAAATGCCTATTCACTGAAACATGCAAAATAAAAATTATTTTTCAAATTAATCAGTTCCTTTAGTTTTCAAAATATTTCTGCCCTGTATCTAGAATTTGTAAATGGTATTATATCATGCTGACCAGTTTGATTTTTATAAGCAGGGTGATGGAACAAGTGCTACTCATGAAAATATTCCTTATAAACCAAATCACAAACTTATAGCTACACAGCCTTTTCTTAATCCAGAAATAATACCTCCTAAATCAATAAATCTATCTGCACTTCTCCCCCTTTCAAATTTATATTTAAATAGTTCTTCAATATATTAATAAGTCACAATTCATTTAGAAGTAGCAATCTTCAAAATAGTATTTGTATGTGGAGATGCAGGGAAAGGCAGGACATGAAATACAACACCGTATCCAATGGTGAGAGGCAATAAAAGTAGTTTTGTCTGTCTTTTTTCCCCCCTTTAAACTATAGGTAGGTTTTAAGAAGAAAAAGATGGAAAATAATAGTGTTTAAACAAATAACAGTCAAATGCTTAGAACTCAAGAGTATAAGAACAAATACCTTCTATAATGGGTTTCTCCCAGGTGTGGAATATAAAACCACGGCATTATTCCAAACAACAACAAACAAAAGAAGGGCACTAAAAGGTTGCTGTAGCATTTACCCACACTCTCAACACTATCAAGCCTTGTATCTTAACTTATTCATGATCACATCACTACTAAATTACTAATGACCATTAATAAAAACAAACATTCTTGGTTAAGTTCAGAAAGTATATTTTTATTAATATGCTAACTACAAGACAGAGAGGTGGCATTATTTTTTAAAGTTAGTCCTAGCCTGGCCAGGCGTGGCTCAGTGGTTGAGCATCGACCTAGGATCCAGGAGATGGGGGTTTGATTCCCGGTCAGGGCACATGCCCGGGTTGTGGGCTAGGCAGCGGATCAATGATGTTTCTATCTCTCTCTCTCCCCCTCCTTTCCTCTCTCTGAAATCAATAAAGATATGTTTAAACAAACAAACAAACAAACAAACAAATAAATAATAAAGTTAGTCCTAAATCAGCAAGGCCATCATTTACTTCTGAAATAATTCTTGGTATTGCTGAAGTTCATGATTAACCACTTTTAGTTCTAAAAAAGGAATCTAACAGAGAACATCAGTTTCAAGCAGGCTTTCATTCTTTATCCAAATGGAAGAAATAAATGTAAAATATTTTTCCCAATAGTTTAGTTACTGCACTAAGAAAACTCACATCCACATTAATGTCAAAAGATGTTCGTGGTTTATTTTCTCTCACTATTTAGCAATGATATCTACAGTTAAATACAACATTATTTCTAAACAGAAGAAAAAATATTTTCTAACAAGTAATTATTTCAAATCAGGCTACAACCGATCTTCAAGAACAATAAAAGAGCAATGTCTATAAGTCCATATTGCTGTGTTATTTCAATGTTTAGGTACATGTTGAGTGAATTCTCTGGGCAGAAAGCTTTAACAAATATTTCTAGACTGAACTGTATTCCAGAACAAAGAGTAGTAAATAAACACTTCTTATCTCTGGCTAGGCACAAAACAAGTACTCCTAGTCTACACAGCCATTTTCTTGAGATAACAAAGGCTTTTTCCTAAGAAATATCCACCTTAAGTTCTCCAGATACTGAAGATCAGAAAACTACAAGAACTATATAGCTATATGCACTCTACAGATTTTGTTACAAAAGAGAAATAAGTTTCTAGGTAAAGCCTATTAAAAACAAACAGAAACATTTTCTAAAGCAATACAGCTGAGTTAGTTTGGAAAAAAATAATCATTGCCAACTTACTTTGTCAACAGGACTTGGTAATGGAGCATGGATGACACTGAAAAGTAAAATTTAGAATTTTTATCTAATTTCCGGACAACAGAGGAAACAGAGTATGACCGTACCAGAATATCTTAAACCTCAAAGTTGATATATATATTTCTAAGCACAAATTCAAAGTCCAAAATGTATTAAATGCCCTTTAAGAATCTTCTACTTAATAATTAGGGCTATGGTGAATTCCTTGGTCATAAGAATTTCTATATGAAAATTATCCATTTTCAATTTAAGAATATGTAAATTAAATTTTTAAAATTAAATATTCCTATACAGCAAGTCTTAAAAAGCGCAGTTCTACTGAAAATAAAGCTTTAATTTGGAAGCTTGTTCTAGTGGAAAACAACTTTAGCTAATCAAAGCAGTGGTACTACTCTTCTTCTCTACCCAGCTACCTCACATAACTAATAGCTGAAAGCTTAGATGTAGGTATGAAACTAAACTAAGTATATCCCTTTAAAGTTAAACAGTAAACAGTATTACTTGGTACTAATTGTCTTTTGGCCTTATAAAGTACTACTGACAGAGAGGCAGTATAGTAAAATAAACATGCAGGTTCAGAAGTTATACTGACTAGGTCCAAATTCTGTTTCTACTTACCAGCCATGTAATCTTGGGCAAATTTATAGGCCTCAGCTTCCTCATCCATACAATGGGAATAATCATAAACCAACCCATGGGATTATTACATTAAATGTGCCAGTATGAATAAAGAGCTTAAAACAGTACCTAGGACACAGTAGCATTTGATCACTACTACCACTCCCATGAAAACACAACAGCACCCAGCCGGGGTGGCTCCATGAACTAGGAGATCGAGGTTTGATTCCAGGTCAGGGCACATGCCCAGGTTGTGGGTTTGATCCCCAGTAGGGGGCGTGCAGGA